TTTTCTGCCATACAGGGGGTTCTACATTTTTTGGGAAACACTCGTTTTTTGTATACCCTTTTTTACTTTAATAATGCAAAAATTTAAATCTTTTTTCCTATCATTATTGAATCTAAGCAAACACTTTTTCACCAGGGAACCAGTAACCTGGGTTTTTTTTTATTTCTGACTCGGGACAATAACACTTGTTTGGTCCTTTTTGATCTGCAGAGTAATTTCTTTACGTTGTTTGGTTCATATCACTGGGAAAAAGTGGACGTTAAATTTTTTACTGCTCCGATAGTTTATCTTGCTCAGTTTTTTTCTTTTGGGGGAGCAAAATAGTCACTGAACTGGTTACTAAGTTTTTTCTTCCATTCTTTTACTGCTCTTCAACCTTTGTATTAAGGATATATTTGTTGGGGATGCTACTATGACTGTTTGGATGGGCCCTTTTCAAGTTATTTATCCTGGGTTTTTTTAAATTTTTTTCAAGCTGAGGATTTTGTTTTCCCAGTTGTGTCATCCTGGGGTCTTGTTTTGTTAGTGTCTCCGAAGATTCATATTTTCAAAACTAAGGGGGAGTGCATGTCCTTTTGGGTATCTGGAAAAACGTTGGTCAACCAGAGACTACTTGGTAGGTTAATCCGGGGAAGGAGGGGGGGATGGGCTGGTGGCAGCCAATTTTTTGTTATTGTTTTGGTTCGCCCGGGGCGGTGGGGAGTGGGTGGGTTCGGGCCGGGGGTCCTCCTGGGTACACTTGTTGAATATTGATTTTTTTGTGTTTTCTGCTGCCCTTGGTGCTGTTTCCTCTTAGATGCGCCTCAAAATACTACAGGAATTGTTGTAGTTAAGAAGAAGTTGTAGTTATACAAAGCTTGGGGTTACGTTGTTCGGCTGGCAGTGGGGTGTTGCTTTCGGTTTGTGGGCAGTCTTCCTTTGATCTCTAATATTTTCGATTTGTAGGTTTTACTGTTGGTAATCTTTGGTCATTCTAGGTGCTACGTTGGGTAGTGCAGTTTTGCTTGTAACTAGGTCATCATAGGAGCATTGGTGGCTCTGATAGTTGGAGAAAAGTACGGAGCTTGGAGGTTGCTGCTGCATTGTTAGCCGGCTTGACAAAATCATGAACGGTAATGGGATCACTCCTATTATTTGCTTCAGTGCTGGAGGCAATGATGTAGGCAAGCGTAGAAGTGAGGATTTAGTTAGAAAGTTCAGGACAGCTATAGACATCATTAGGAAGAAGGGGGGGGCACCCTGTTATATGTGGCATTTTGCCAAGAAGAGGTGTTGGTAATGAATGGTTGTCCAGAGCAATTGGTATTAATTGTTGGCTGGATAAACACTGTAAGGATAATGCAGTACCATTCATTGACAACTGGGACAACTTCTATGGCCGAAATGACATTTTGCCAGGGATGGGGTTCACTTACCAGGGAGGTGTGGGTTTTCTTGCTAACTCAGTTGAGGGGGTTGTTAGGGCTTTAAACTAGGATTAGTTAGAGGTATGGGTTTAGAAATGATAAATAATGAGTATGGATACATTGATTATGCTCTGATATTAAGAATCTTAATAGTAACTGTCATGGAGTAACTCTGGGTAATGATAATTTCAGAAATTGTGTAAAAACAAAGATCAATAGGAAAAATGTGCAGAAGAAAAAACATATGATGGTATTTTATGCTAACAGTCGAAGTGCAAGAAATAAAATTAATGAACTACGTTTGGTAGCATGTGCTGGGAACTTTGATATCATTGCATTAACTGAAACGTGGTATGATTTAAAGAGTCGGGATATGACTGCTGAGTGTAATATTCGGGGATTTAAGTTGTTCAATGTGGTCAGATCTAATGGGAAGGGGGGAGGAGTTGCATTATATGTTCGAGAAAATATTAATTGTTGCATAAAAACAGGTATAAAAATAGATGGAGCAGTAACAGAATCTGTTTGGGTAGAGTTCGTAGAGGGTCAAGAAAAATTAATTCTAGGTGTAATATACCGACCTCCAGGCTTGGATCACGATAGAGGGAGACTTCTTTGGGACGAGATTGTTTGGGCTTCTAGACACAATAACATTGTCATAGTAGGGGACTTTAACTTTACTCAAATTGACTGGAATTCTTTGACTGGTAATCTAGAGTCCAGTGACTTTATGGAAACAGTTCAGGACTGTTTTCTGAAGCAGAGCGTAACAAGAGCCTACCAGGGGTAATAATTTGCTAGACCTAGTCTTGTCAAATAAGGAAACACTCGTGAATAATCTGGAGATCACTGAAGAGCTTGGCGCAAGTGATCACAAATCCATCACTTTTAGCATTAACTGGGAATGCAAGAATAATGATAATACAGTAAAAATCCCTGATTTTCGTTCCGCCGATTATAATGGACTTAGGGAACACCTGTCTAATCTTGATTGGGGTTATCTAGCTAATGATTTTATTGATGATGATCATACTTATGATTATGAAGGGATCTGCTTTTATGATTGTTTTCTTAATAATGTACACCGTGCCCAGAGTATATACATTCCCCAGAGAGAAATTAGGTCTAATAATAATGATCCCAAATGGGTTAACAGGAGGCTAAAGCATCTATTAGGGGAGAAAAGGGGAATTTATAGGCGCATCAGAAGAGGAGAGGTTAACCTTACTGACCAGTATGTTCAGCTTAAAAGAGAAGTAAAAAAGGGGATTAGAAAGGCTAAACGTGACTGAAATTAGAGTTGCTAATGAATCAAAGACTAATCCAAAGGGGTTCTTTCAAGTGTATAGGACGAAGGTGAAGGAAAAAGTAGGACCTCTGAAAATTGGGAATGGACAGCTGACTGATAATGAACTGGAAATGTGTTCCTTATTTAATGACTATTTTTTGTCAGTTTTTACACAGGAAGATGTAAATGAGATTCCAGTAATTAACAATTATTTAGTTCCTGATGAATTTAAGTTAACTAATATTACTGTCACGAGGGACATGGTTATTAAACAGATAGACAAACTGAAGCAAAATAAGTCCCCGGGACCCGATGAGCTGTTTTCCAGGGTACTTAAGAAATGCAAGATGGAGCTTAGTCAGCCATTAACGAGTGTATTCAATGCGTCCATCCTTACCGGTGTTGTGCCAGAGTTGTGGAAGATGGCTAATGTGGTTCCTATATTCAAATCAGGGGATAAGTCCACTCTTTCAAATTACCGTCCAATAAGCCTGACATCTATAGTGGGCAAGTTATTAGAATCAATTATAGCTGAAATTATCAGAAGTCACCTTGAAGAGCATAACTTGATAAATGAATCTCAGCATGGATTCATGAGAGGTCGTTCCTGCCTGACAAACTTACTGACGTTCTTCAATAGAACTTTTGAGGCAGTTGACAGTGATAAGGAATATGCTATTGTTTATTTGGATTTTAGTAAAGTCTTTGATAGAGAAACCCCCACAAGAGACTCTTTAAAAAAAGTGCAGCTCATGGGAAAAGGGGGGTAAGTTTTTAGCATGGATTGAGGCATGGCTTACCAATAGAAAGCAGGGGAGTTACCATTAATGGAGTGAAATCTGAATGGGATTAGTCACTAGTGGCTTTCCACAAGGACAGTTTTAAAGGGCCCTCCTTGTTCATAATTTACATTAATGACCTTGATGAAGGGATTACAGTGACATGAGTAAGTTTGCTGATGATACAAAGATAGGCCGTATAATTCACTCTGAGGAGGATATCAATGAACTCCAGGACAATTTAGACAAATTAATGTCTTGGTCTGAAAAATGGCAGATGAAGTTCAATGTGGATAAGTGTAAGGTACTTGCCCTTGGTAATGAAAATAACCGTCGAAGCTATAATCTAGGTGAAGTAGAGCTTGATCATACAGAATGTGAAAAAACTTGGGAGTCATGGTAAGCAGAAATCTAAAGCCAAGACAATAGTGCCTTAGTGTGCGCAACAAGGCCAACAGATTACTTGGATTTATCTCAAGAAGTATAAGTAACGGAAGTCCAAAAGTTATTTTACAGCTCTATACATCACTAGTGAGGCCTCATTTAGATTATGCTGCTCAGTTTTGGTCCCCTTACTACAGGATGGACATAGACTCATTAGAGAACATTCAGAGAAGATTGACTAAAATGATTTACTGTGTAAGGAACCTCCCGTATGAAGATAGACTAAAGCCTTAAATCTCCACTCTCTGGAGAGGCGTAGAATGAGGGGAGATATCATTGAAGTGTATAAGTGGATGACAGGCATAAACAAGGGAGATATTAATAAAGTACTGAGGGTGTCGAACCAGGTAAGAACCAGAAATAATGGATATAAGTTGGATAAATTTAGATTTAGAAAGGACATAGGTAAGTACTGGTTTTCTAACAGAGTTGTAGATGCGTGGAACAGTCTTCCCAGTGGGGTGATAGAGGCTAGGACCTTGGGTAGCTTTAAGAAGAGACTGGACAAATATATGAGTGGGAGGGGCTGGGTTTGATTGGTGTCATGGGGTACGGGAGTTATTTCTTGGGTAGCTTTAGGTAGAGGTCGTTTTGATAAGGACCTGCCTGGTATGGGCCAGTAGGCCTTCTGCAGTGTTCCTACATTCTTATGTTCTTATTTCAGAGAGGGTTGGAAGGCAATTTTGAGTGGTAGGGGCCTGAGCATCCAGTAGACATGTGCGAGCACATTAGGTCAAATTGATTGAAGACATTTGATTTTTGAAATTTGATTTTCTGTTGTAATGTGAACAAGTTAGTCTGTGAAGGTGCTTAGGGAAGCAGGTTAACTGGATTTGAATTCTGGAGGTGAAAACTCCAGTGCTTGCTTTCTGAAGGATGGATGAGGGTTGTTATAAATGTACTTTTGGAAAGACATCTAAGAAGTAAGTGATGGTGATCGTATTTCTTTTTTCTTTTTAAGTTACCCTGCCCTAGTTAGAAATGACTGATATGTATACAATTATTTTCTGTAGTATGCAAAATAACCAGCACTAGTTTGTTAAGTATATATAGTATATATACATAACTTTTTTATTTTTTCAGGCATATGTCACATTTACTACATTAGGTGGTTACGTTGGCTGTGGGCTTTTGAGGGATTTTTTTCGCATTCCATCTTATGTAAAGGATGCTAATTTAGATGATCAATATTTAGCTGACCTATCAGAAAGCATGAGAAAGTACCCTAAGGTAAGTTTGTTGTAAATTGGTTTCATCCTTATAATATCATGATTGTAGCATAAGCATTTGCTGTTTGAAAGAGTACTCATCTTATGTGGTATTGTGGTCTAGTAAAATACTTTTCTCTTCTAAAAGAAAATATATGCAGATGTGTTGAGGCTCCTTGAGTATATGTTGTGTTCTTGGGGTCCACCCACCTTTGTATATTAATGACATTAAATGAGCATGCAGTTATTTCATAAAATAAAATATTTCTATAAACTTTTTCTCAACGTGATAGCCACCCTTCAGTCTGGTGAGGTTTGTGGCTCAAATCCTAGTAGGAAACCTCTGGAGCACCTTCTTTGCTGCTGCCATACCCTCAGAAGAACTTTTTGGCATTACCTGGACTCCACTTGTACATCTTGCACCATTAGGTACAGCTCTTGGTAAGGAAATTTGCACTGTACTGTATATCTCTCGCTTAATTTCTCTTGTTTTAACCCTTTCAGGGTCCAGACCCAAAATCTGAGATGTGTCCACAGGGTCCAAGAATTTAAAAAAAAAAAAAAATTATTTTTTCTTACGAAATGGTAGAGAATCTTTTAATGAAGGTACTAAAACAAAAAGTACGAAATTTGATGGAAAATTCACGAAATTATGCTCTCATGAATTTTGATGTGTCAGTGATATTTATGCATCGGTGATTTTGCTGAGTTTGACTCATTTTAGGCCAATTACATTATTCCAGTTGACCAAATTCTTAGCTATTTCACTAGTATTACTTCTGTTTTATCGATTGAGCACAAGAAATCCCCAAATCAACTGTTTCAACTACCCAATAAAGTGATCAGAAACTGGTAATTTGGCCAATTTAACACAAAGTTCAAAATATTCCTATTTCAAAATAGGGTCCAGAATAAACATTGCAGACATTTCTGGCACTAAACTAACATTTCCTTTGTTCATTAGTTATGTTTTCAGGCTTTACAAATGAATTCCATTTTGATTTTTTATTCACATAATGAATTTTTATTCAAACCAAAAAATGGAAGATTTACTGTTATGCAATATTGTAATAATTGTATAAATAACATCAGCGCATTTGTGAACGCACATAAGACCCACCAGCTGGTATCTATTGGATGAGTGATGTGATTTGTTTACTCTTGAACTTTGGCAAAAAACATTTCTGCTATTTTGAACTTGGTTTCAAGCCATTTTCAGTACTAAACCAATCAAAATCATATCTATTTCTGTAATATATCTTCCATTCTATCAAAAGGGAGTGCATCTACATATGAAAATGGGGGATTTTAACTTTAGACAAATTGATTGGAACAATTTGACAGGAAATCTTGAGCCTAGTGACTTTCTTGATACAGTTCAGGATTGCTTTTTAAAACAGTTTGTGACAGAACCAACTAGAGGAAACAATCTGCTTGACTTGGTTCTTGCCAACAAAGATTCACAAATTAATAATCTTGAGGTTAATGATGAGCTTGGGGAAAGTGATCACAAATCACTTAGTTTCAATATATTATGGAATTACTAGTAAACTACAATCAAGTCTCTGTCCCAGACTTTTGATTGGCTGATTTCCTGGGACTGAAAAATGACCTGGGAGGGCTAAATTGGGAAGTGCTGACTAAGGGTCAATTAGCTGGTGTTGGTTGCCAATATGACATTTTTCAGAGCATAGTTCTAGCTTCTCAGTCAACTTTTGTTCTGAGTAGGGAAATTAGATCTAACAAAAATGATCCCAGATAGATGAACAATAGAATAAAACATCTCATAGGTCAAAAGAGAGACATTTATAGGCATATCAAAAGAGGGGAAGGGCAGTTAAGAAATCAATATATTCAGTTAAAGAGAGAAATATAAAAAGGAATAAAAAAAGCAAAAAGGGATAAGGTCGCAAGGGATTCGAATACTAGCCCAAAAGGGTTCTTTCAGGCATACAAAAGTGAGATTAGAGACAAGATAGGCTCACTTAAGAGTAGCTCAGGTCAGATCACTGACAGGGATAGGGATATGTGCGAAATTTTCAATTCTTACTTCCTCTCAGTCTTTACTCAGGAAGATACTAGCAAAATTCCAGAAATAATAAATTGTGGAACGGCGATAATAAACTATGCATGATTGCAGTAACTAGTGACATGGTCCTCAGATAAATAGAGAAATTAAAACCTAACAAATCCCCAGGCCCTGATGAATTGTTTGCAAGGGTTTTAAAGGAATGTAAAGAGGAATTTTACAAACCTTTGGCAAATCTTTTCAACATATCACTACAAACTGGCATAGTGCCTGATAAGTGGAAGATGGCAAATGTAATACCTATTTACAAGGCAGGTGACAGGTCCTTAGCTTCAAACTATAGACCAATAAGCCTTACCTCCATAGTGGGAAAATTTATGGAATCAATAATTGCCAAGACAATTTGTAGCCATCTTGATAGGCATAAATTGATAAATGAATCTCAACACTGTTTTACTAAGGGGCGTTCCTGTCTTACGAATTTACTAACCTTTTTTGCTAAGGTGTTCGAGGAGGTAGATCATGGTAATGAATATGATATTGTGTATATGGACTTCAGTAAGGCTTTCAATAGAGTTCCACATCAGAGACTTTTGAGGAAACTTAAGGCACACAGAATGGGAGGAGAAATTTTTCCCTGGGTAGAGGCATGGTTGACAAATAGGCAGCAAAGGGGAGAAATCAGAATGGGGGCACGTCACAAGCGGTGTTCCACAGGGGTCAGTGTTGGGCCCCTTGTTGTTCACAGTTTACATAAACGATATAGATGAGGGAATAAATAGCGACATAAGCAAATTTGCTGATGACACCAAAATAGGCCATCCAATTCATTCTATTAAGGACATTAGTGCACTCCAGGATGATTTGAATAGACTGATGTAGTGGTCAAAGAAGTGGCAGATGCAGTTTAACATAGACAAATGCAAAGTGCTAAATGTTGGACAACACAATAACCATGCCACTTATAAACTGAATAGTGTAGATCTTAATAGTACTGATTGCAAAAAGGATTTAGGAGTTCTGGTTAGCAGTAATCTGAAACCAAGACAACAGTGCATAAGTGTTCAATAAAGCTAACAAAATCCTTGGATTCTTATCAAGAAGTATAAATAATAGAAGTCCTCAGGTTGTTCTTCAACTCTATATATCCTTGGTTAGGCCTCATTTAGATTATGCTGCATAGTTCTGGTCACCATATTATAGAATGGATATAAATGCACTGGAAAACGTACAGAGGAGGATGACAAAGTTGATCCCATGTATCAGAAATCTTCACTATGAGGATAGACTGAGCCTCAGCCCTGAATCTGCACTCTCTAGAAAGGCATAGAATTAGGGGGGATATGATTGAGGTGTATAAATGGAAAACAGGAATAAATAAAGGGGATGTAAATAGCGTGCTGAAAATATCCAGTCAAGACAGGACTCGCAGCAATGGCTTTAAGTTGGAAAAGTTCAGATTCAAGAAGGATATAGGAAAGCTCTGGTTTGGTAATAGTTATGGATGAGTGGAACAAACTCCCGAGTACCGTCATAGACACTAAGACGTTGTGTAGTTTTAAAAATAGGTTGGATAAATACATGAGTGGGTGTGGGTGGGTGTGAGTTGGACCTGACTAGCTTGGGCTACTAGGTCTGGCGCCATGCTCCTTCCTTAAGTGGAAGGGACCTGCCTAGGTGGTCATTGTTCTAGGCTGGGGGGATGGCATAGACCTGCTTCGCATGGGGTCAGTAGGCCTGATGCAGTGTTCCTTCTTTCTTATGTTCTTAAAAGAGACCAAGAAATCGCAAATACTGCTATAAAAAATCCTACGATAAAACACCCCAAAGTCGCTGCTTTGATCGAAAATTACGGTCTCTGTTTTTTTTTTCTCTCATGCACTGTGTGCTGCAGTATTTGTTTTATGTAGTGCACACTTAACACATAGATGTATTCTATCATATCTAGTCCCAAATTTACCGCTCACAGCTTATCTGAGTGAGCTGAGCTCATGGTGTAGAACTACAGCATGGACCCTGAAAGGGTAAAGCAGGTGCTTGAAATGATCTTCAAGCACCTTATTGAGAGTATATGGCATTGCCTGCCTGGGTTTTGATTGTACATTTCTTCCTCTTTAAGACTAGAATTTTGTATTACTTTTGCATAAAGATGTGGTACATTGATTGGCCAGTCATGCTAAGCACTCTCCGGTCTGTTCAGTAAATGAATAGGTGCATAGACCATCTTGCTCTTGATGAAAGAGTACCTCTACAAACCACTAATTTACTGTACTCAACAGAGTTGACTTATACCTATTCAGATTTTGCATGTATAGTAAACAACTACCTTTCGTTAAGATACGTTCCAGAAAATTGGAGCTATGTGTGAAAACTCAATATTTGGAGTGAACAGCTTGTTGAAAAAATTAGGTTACATTCTCTGCCACCTCCAAAAAGTTAGATGACTTTTCTTATAAATACTGTATATTACCAGTCATAAGTCACATTTTTTCCAAAATATTTATGCCAAGAGTTATATACTGCATCTTATGAGCACATACTAACCCCCCCAAAATATGTAAAAATAATCAGAATAACAGAGTACATAACATGAGAATGATGGAGCACTGAAGTAGGCTTACCAGCCAATGCTAATCAGGTCCATCTCCAATCCAACTTTTCTTACTCATTTATTTGTTCAACAGATACTACACTTTGATGTAGTTGGATGTAGCCAAGGTTAATCAGTTGACATATGCACAGTACAGGTCAATATGGCCATAATTGAAGCCACATTTCCTTACCAAACTGTATCAGATAAGCAGGAATTCACCACATCTATTCCAAACTAGCATATACGATGCCATTTTAAGAATGAATGTACTGTTTGAAAAAGTAATAGCTAAGACATATGTGGTATAGTATAGTAATTTTGCAATAAACTGGTGTGGGAGGCTGTCTGAGAAATGTGCTGCCAACTTGGGCTTTGGCTCCCAGCAATATTGTAAGATTGCAGATTACATCGTGTTAAAGCTATATCTTGAATGGTTTTAGTTTTTATTTCAGATGTTCTTTGCATAAGGGGCTGATATCATGTTTATTGGAGTTGAAAATAGTCTACACCACACATGCTGTGACCGAGGCAAAGCCAGAGTTTGCAGGGAATTGGTGCGCTTCTGCCTCCTCAATCAGAATATTACTACTATGTTGATACCGTAATACAGTATGAGTGAACAGGGGCGGCAGCTGATAGAATATAAGCCCATACATTTTTCCTCATTTTATGAAACTACCTTGTCTTACCTATCAATGTGTGGGGAATCTCTTGAATCTGCAGTGTGCTTGGCAGGCAGTTTTTGTAATGGCTTCTCGGTGAAGATACAGTACCTCGACTATACAACTTTTTCGCTTAACATTTTATGACAGGTTAATATCACTTGTCATATTAAACAATTATAGTCACACAGCTAGAATAAATACATCATGTTAAAAGGCACAAGTATGTTAAATTACAGTGTATTTATAATTATACATGATACTGAACTTTTGTGAATGCTTGATGTTAATACACACTGAATATTTTCGTCAGACTTTTTATACAGCTGTTGTTTACTTAATTTTTTTTTTTTAGATTTAGATTTTTCAGTTACTATAAAAAAATTTTTGCTTCCACCTTTGAAACTCATTGCAACAAAATTGCATTGTGTGTTGTAGGGGTTTACTGCACTTTGTTAATGTTTTGTTAATATAAGAGTTATATTTTTATTAATTTTATTTTGATTAACAGCTGTGTGGACCATAGGCAATATTGGTCATGAACAAGGGCAGCTAAAGTGGGCTATGATTGGAGCTTTTATTACTTTTACCTATCTCACTTTTACATCCACCTGTTGCAAACTGGAGTGTGATATGTTCTTCTTTGCTGTTTAATATGAATGCAAAAGAGTGGCGAAGGACACCCCATCCCAATACTCATTTTTGCAAGTAAGCCTAAAGTTACTACAGTAAATCTGAATTTTGTTTTTGTCTTACCTGTATATTTTATTGTTCATCTAAGGTACATTATTTTACATGATGGTAGGATTGCTGGTGTCTTTTTTCTGTCTCATAAACATGCAAGATTTCAGGTACGTCTTGCTACTATTCCTTACATTTAGATCACACTACACATGCATGTACAAGTATATATATACACACCCTTCTGGGTTTTCTTCTGTTTGTCTTTGCTACTTCTCTGTTATTTCCCCTTATCTCCATGGGAAAGCGGACAGAATTCTTCCTCCATAAGCCATGCGTGCCATAAGAGGCGACTAAAATGCAAGGAGCAAAGGGCTGGTAACCCCTTCTCCTGTATATATTACTAAATGTAAAAGGAGAAACTCGTTTTTCCTTGTGGGTACAGTGGAACCTTGGCTTACAAGTTTATTCTGTTCTGTGACCTTGCTCGTATCCCGATCTGCTTGTATGCTGAATCATCCTCATTTAAATTACAGAAGACTGTCATTTAACCCATAAATGGTCCAAACGTATATATACGTTCTTACTGCTAGTGCCCCAAAGTATATATACGTTTTATTTTTCTGTCTTCAGATTTGACACGATTGGCCTGAGATGCCTTGTCAGCATAGAATGGGTCTTAACACTCAGTGTGCACTGTATTAAAAAAAAATGGGACCACTTAGTACCTTGTGGGAGCACCAGATCAAATGAGTGCCAGCTAGAGCAAACAGAGTGGCAAACACCTGGGATTCACTGATTTCATGTAGTATTAATTCTCCCATTTTAAGAGGAAAGTGATTTTGACCCCGAGTTTAGTGGCTTTGAGGTGGATGTGGCCATAAGTGGTCGAGGAAATATCAAAAAACCTCAATAATAACCCATGTGCAATATTTGTGCAACACCCTTTCAGAATGTCTTATAACGTAAGCCCTAAGTAAAGAGAAACAATTCTGGAATGTAATACTTGTTCAGCAGGCTGGCTGACTGGCCAGTTGCGTGGCTGACCGGCTGCTGGCAGCCTGTCTCTATCTCCGTTTGTCTGTCTGTATCTATGTCTGTATCTTTGTCTGTCTGTCTCTATCTGTCTATCTCTGTCTCACAGGTACACATAAATACAAGTATACATAGTGTAAATTACCTAGGATAACCCAAAAAATCCAAACAAAGTGCTATACTCTGCTTGAAGATATAAGAAAACACAATGATGTGATGACGCAGTCTTGTGGCTCTCTCTGAGACAGAGCTAGACGGATAGACAGATAGACCGGGACTTTGACAGACAGACATGTTTGTGTACCAGTGAAAACAAAGCGAGGGCCAAGGCTCATCTACTACTACTACTATACTACTACTACTATACTACTACTACTATACTACTACTACTATACTACTACTACTATACTACTACTACTATACTACTACTACTATACTACTACTACTATACATACTACTACTATACTACTACTAAATATACTACTACTCACTATACTACTACTATACTACTACTATACTACACTACTATACTACTACAACTACTATACTACTACACTACTACTATACTACTACTCTACCACTACTACTACCACTACTACCACTACCACCATCAACCACTATTAATACTACTAATACTAAACTACTACTACCACCACAACACTACTACCACAACCACTACTACTACTACTACCACAACCACTACTACTACACACAACCACTACTACACCACAACCACTACTATACTACTACCACAACCACTTAACTACTACCACAACCACTACTACTACCACAACTACTACTAAAATACTACTACACAAACCATTTCTACTAACCATACTACTAACACCACCAACACCACTATTACTAATACCACCACACTATTACTACATACCATCACCATATTACTGTTACTACTACTATATTACTAATACTTTATAACACTTAGAAAAATGTTCTCTTTATGTTCCATAAAAAAAGGCGAAGGAATTTTTTTATTTTCCAAAAAATTCGGGCAACTGGTAGTTTAACGTATTATCGTATCGTTTGGACGTTTTATGGTTAACAAAGGATTTATGTTTCCTGAAAATGCTGTGTTAAGTAAAACCGTGTTAGGTGACTGAAGGGACTTGGGGGAAAAATTAGGGTTAATGTTCCTGGAGTGCCCCAAAAAAGCCAAACAAATTTTTTTTAGGCCCCCCACATTTTACAAAAAATAAGCGAATATGTAATTGTAAACTCATTGTCGTGATGTTATAGTTGTTTTTACTGCATTAGATTACAAATGCAGCAGAAATAATAGTATTTCTTACCTTAAATTGTGGGTGCTGGTGTTTGTGGATGATTGTGGAGTTATGCTGTGGCCCTACTGGGCTGAGGTGGATGGTAGAGATTCTGGTACTGAAGTCAATGGTTGTACTGGAGTGTGCATAAATTCTGTAATGGATTTCTGTTCTCTTTTACCCTGCAATACATTGTACAGTTGACGGTAAAGCATCAGCTGCTCTAGACACCGTTTCAGGGTCCTCGTCACTGAAAAAGTCTAAGTCAGTAAGTTATTCAGTTAAGTCAGTCAGTCATTCAGTAAGTCAGTCAGTCATTCAGTAAGTCAGTCAGTCATTCAGTAAGTCAGTCAGTCATTCAGTAAGTCAGTCAATTACACAAACTCATGTTTACCTCATTTTATGTGCACAAAGCGAGACTCATTACGGCCACAGGTTATCTCTTGTCTAATATCTCTTTTCTTTTTAATTCTAAGACTTACATGCTTATACCTTTTCTTGCCACTTTCAGCAACACTGGAATGCCTACTGGGTGTTATGATTGCTTGGCAGATACAAAATATGGTAATTAAAAGCTCAAAACACAGTTCACAAACACTGCTAGCTTGTAGCAGAGAAGAGGAACTAACTGAACACGTATGAAGTACGAATGCTGGGATAGTGGTGTCGGGAGTGTAGGGGGGTGGCGGGGGATGGCGGGAGGTCTCCCCTGCTGATCCACAACAAGGCAGCTGCTTTGAGGAAAAGGAAATTTTTTCCCCTCCCGCAAACTGAACCATGTTAAATTAATTTTATGAAGTGCTAAATAAAATTGTGCCGCAATTCTTCAATCATGCTATACCCGAATTGTGCCAAATAAACTCTTGTTAAATGATGGTCTTCTGTAATTGAAATGCCATTAATCCATTCCAGCAGAATTCCTGCTTTGGGAGGCAGGACAAAAATACTTCAGTATGATTCTATGGCTTATTTATTTATCACAATTCATCTAATACGACATAATAAACAATATAAATAACATAGAACCCTGATATATACTCTAGAATAAATAAAATATGGCATTGTGTCCAATGGTAGTGGTCATTCCCTACCTCAAGTGGCCACCTTGTGGGTCAGTGGAGGAGACTTCCTGCCATCCTGACACTTCTGACACCACCATCCCAGCTTCGTGAATACGTGTTCAGCTCCATATCTCTCCTACAAGCTAGCTGTGTTTGTGAATTGTTTTGATCTTACTGACTTGACTTGACTGACTTGACTGAATGACTTTACTGACTGACTTACTGACTTGACTGTATGACTTGACTGACTGACTTGACTGGCAGACTGACTTGACTGGCTGACTTGCCTGCCTGACTGACTTGCCTGAATGATTTGACTGACTTACTGAATGACTTAGACTTTTTCACTGAAGAGGACCCTGAAATGGTGTCTAGAGCAGCTGATGCCTTACCGTCAGTTGTATAATGTACTGAAGGGTAAAATAGAACTGAAATCTATTACAGAATTTATGCACACTTGTACAATCATCAACTTCAGTACCAAAACCTCTACCATCCACCTCAGCCCAGTAGGGCCACAGCATAACTCTCCACTCTTTACAATCATCGATAAATACTAGCACCCACAATTTAAGGTAAGAAATACTATTATTTCTGTTGCAGTTAAAAGTCTTAAGCAGTAAAAACAATGTAATACATCATGACAATGAACTACAATTATATATTCACTTTTATTTTTGTAAGATCTGGAGGTCTAAAAAAAAAGTTGCTCGAGGGAAAAGCTCGCATCCTGAATTTTTGCTCGTATCCAGAAAAAAAAACCGACTGAGTGACTGCTTGTATCCTGAAAAACTTGTATGGTGGGGCACTCATAAACTGAGGTTCCACTGTACATTAATTTCATGTACAGTGGAATCAATGTACACTGTACATTAATTCCATTGTACATTAATCCCGACTTTGAATGCAGATGGATTTCTTGCCCTTGCAAAACTTTCTCTTGAGATCCTGTGCCTGCATCTTTTTCATCTCATCTGTTCACATCAGTAATAAGATTACTCAAAATCTCTGATTTTTTTATAAATATTCATTTTGCACTTATGATTATCATACTAATAATATAAATATTCAAGGATGAGGAATATTTGACATAGTTGGTATCTAGGAAATTGGTTCAGCAATTGTCAAAGTTTTAACAATTGTAAAATTATTATGAAACCTGCAAAAATTTTTCTTTAGTTTCTGTATCTTATTTACTTTACATCGTTAATTAATAATGAAAATTTTCTAATTGTATTTTAGTTATTTTATATGCTTTATTTACTTTTTTCCTCCACAGAAGAATGATGGTTTTGACAATGAGTTGTTTACTAATGAGCAGTTTGTGGGCCTCAGCATTATATTTCAACGCAACAGTAACAGACAAACAAGGAGAGCGCATCAAGCTGAGAGATGCTGCCAAGAACTTTCTTAATTCTCCTATGTTCTTGAAATTTAAGGAGAATCTCAGATTCATTTATAATGATGCACAGGAAAATGGATGGAGCATTGCTTGGGAAAATTTTGTAGAGCTGCTTGATCCACTTGGGGAAATACATGCTCTGAAGGTAATAAATAATCTCTGTGGTAATATTGAGAGATTATAGAGAGAGAGAGTAGTTTCTTGCAACTGGTGACCAGTAAGCTGTTTTTAATGAAAATATTTATAATACTATGGTGAATGCAATTCGCAAATTACCCTTAATTTTTAGTGGAAATTTTTGATGACATTTTGGTCTGACCTGGACCAATGTCAAGCTTAAGTGGATTGATAATATCCAAGATGGACCAAAATGTCTTCTAAAGATTCCTCTTGGAAATGTGGGGTAGTTGTATTAATGAACATTCATGCTTCATAATACAGTTTTCTAATGCAAGTTTAGTGCTCCTTTATTGCTATAATAATTATAGTTCTCTTTTAAATTGTAGTGATTGTCATTTTTACAGACTCAGAAAATATTCAACATAATGTTTTTAACATAATGTGCATTACAGGTGTTAGGTCTGCCAAAAAGGGCAACTCAGGAAGAAATAACATCTGCATACCGAAAACTTGCAAAAGAATGGCATCCTGATAGGTAAGTGACTTAAAAAAAATTCTTTAAAATACAGCCCTCCTCTCACTTAACGTTGGAAATTCCATTTCCCAAGACCACATTGG